TTCTCTTTATATCCAATGAACTCAATAGGAACGAGACTCCTATCTTTCACCTCCAAGGTGGTAGAGTTGATCCAGGCGACTTTGTAGGGGCTTGGGTGTTGTGTGGTCCTTAATTGAAGTTTCGAAATCATAGCAGAAGATACGGCGTTAATACAACTTCCACTGTCTATTATGACCTTGCAATTCTTATCTCCAATCTTAGTGAAAGTGTAGAAGATCGAGGTCCTTCGCCAGTCGTCACTAGGTTTAGGTTGTGAGAAGGCACACCTGACGACTTGCAGATCCAAGTGATTCATCTTTTGAGGACACTGGATCACAGCAATATCATCCTCGTCGAAAAATTCCTCATCGTCGTCCATATGGTGAACTAATTCAGCTTCAGGTTCATCCTCTTCTTCCGTCACTTCTTCAATTATTGCGACCTTAAACGGGCTGGAGCACTGAGAAGCAATGTGTCCGTACCCATGGCATCTAAAACACTTAGTGCCGGCAGTGGTTTTGGGTGTCTCTCGTTTAGGTGCTTTACCTTTATAGTCCGTTCTAGGTTGGGCTTGACCAGGGGAAGGCCGACAACCGGAGGGTCCAGTGGGCTTGTTGTAAGGTTGGCTAGAGGAAGACTTGAACGGGTTGGGTTGAGAGCCTTGAGTCCTAGAGGCATGGCTCCTAAACTCTTCAAAGTCAAGTACTAGACTACAGGCAGCTTCAAAAGTATTCACTCCTCTGGCAAAAAGCTTATTTGTAAGGTCTTCTCTCAATCCAGCTCTAAACATTGACAGAAGTTGGGTAGGGGTGGTGGTTTCTTCTCCGTTACAGCGTATCATGAAATCATCAAAAACCGCGATGTATTCTCTTAAGGGTTTGCTTCCTTGGGTCAACCTATTCCAACGATCCAAAAGCCTGGGGTAGTAGGAAGGAGGGAAGTACTTCCGTTTTAATTCTTGTTTCATTGTTCCCCAGTCAGCCACGGGGTATTCTCCTCGGGTTTCTCTCATATGTTCTAGATTAGCCCAATACTGGTTAGCTCTATCAGTATACTTCATCTCAGCAAATCGGACCTTTCTCTCTTCCAAAATATTGTACCAGTTAAAATAGCTATCTATCCCTTTGAGCCAGTCAAGAAAAACTTGGGGTTCTAACGTACCATCAAACGTCGGGGCATCTATCTTAATACTCTTAAGGAGTTGGATATCGTTGTCCCTCCAAGGTGTGTCACGTCCTCCCTGTTCTTGATGGGGTCGGTGATTGGGTCTGTAGTAATCTCTAGGAGGTTCGTACTCAGTTCGGTTATCTTCGTCATAAGGAGATTGGGGTCTAGAGGCAGTGTAGATAGCCGGGTGTCCTATCCTTTCGATGTTGTCTAGTCTCTCTCCCGTATGACGCTTAAGCTCCGCTAAACTCGTTTGGGTATCCCTAATTTGTTGCGTAATTGTACCCAATTGGCCCACAATCATGTCTAAGGTCGCTTGCATATGTGCGGGATCCATGGTTGAGTGCTAGGGGACACTTAAGGAGGGCTCCTAAGTCAAAGGCAGCAGCTAACCACGCTGGAAATATGTCCTAAAAGTCTTCAAATGTTGCTGGAATGACTAGGACAGCAGAGTCCAGCAAGGGTCTAAGATGTCCAGAGGTTTAGGAAGGATCCTAAGGTGTGGACAGCACCTAAACAATGATTTCAGGTTCACTAACGGATGCTTAACAGCAGCTGAAACAGTGTGGACAGCAGTAAAACCTCAAGGTGGAGTTGTCCTATGCACTTAGAAATGCTACAAGTTTAATGGCAGCAAAATGACACTAGCTAGGATGACTTAAATGCTCATGAAAGTGTGCAGGAAATGCATGAACAGCAGCTAAAACAGAGAGTAAATTGAAACTACGCAAGGATATGCATGCAAATTTAAAGCTATAATGAACGGTTAAACCCTATGATGTTTTTCTAACATGTCATGCATGCCTACCATGCTCTGATACCAAGAATCTATGATGCACCGACACTTCTCCTCAAAGAGGAGTGCAGTGTCCGACACCGTGTCCGACACGACACTTGTCCGACACTTCTCCGACACGTGTCGGACACGCCGAAAACGTGTCCGATTAAAAAAATATTAAAAACAAGTTGGACACTCGTGTCCGACATGCGTATCTTAAATATTTTATAAATTTTTTAAAAATATAATTTCTTATATTTAGTGAATTTAAACTAAATTTCTTATTTCATATCCACAACACCAAATCAACGTGTCTGCATTTAATACCCATTCATCAAATATTCTCATTTTCATTTCTCTTTGGCAGTAAAGGTATTTTCATCTCCTCTCTTTTTGCACAATTACAAATTTTTCTCCTGTTGAACCAGAGTTGAAAGTAGTGATATTCAATGATGATGATATTGAAGGCCAAAATAAACCTCTAAAGCTAATCCTAGTAGTTGAAGCTTGAATGCTTGATATTATAGCAAGTGATTATTTGTTTATATTTTTGTGGTTGTCCTAAATATTTTATATTATAAGCTAGACAAGTTATCATGTCATTCATTTATTATTGTTTGTCATTTTTAATATGATATTACATTAATATATATACACTATATAAAAAAATATATTGCCGTGTCCGCGCCGTACTCGTGTCCTATATTTTAAAAAAAAGCCGTGTCCGTGTCCGTGCATCATAGCCAAGAATGATGTGAAACTACTAGGAGTTACGATTAGAATTTAGAAAGAAAGTTGATTAAAGTATTGCTCATTTAAAAGAGGGTTAAGAATTTTGAAATTTTTAACTTGCTTAGGCCAAAGACGTGCAATAGAACATAACCGCGACAATTCTTTCAAAGTTCAAGGTAGTTTAAATGCAAAGTACAATTAACAAAAATCCAATGCTTAACAATGAGAGGTTCACCTCAAGGACTGTCTCAATCAATTATTTGGAGGCTTTTAGCGGAGAAAGATGACCCATATGATGAAGGATATTACCACTAGAGAGAAGGCGCCGAAGAACTTCGTTGGTGGAGAGGTAGCCGGTGGAGATGGAGGTAGTGGGTGGCCGACGATGCTCCAATTATAGTTTGAAAGTTGGCGGTCGATGACGCTTGCAAGAGTAGGGACAACTCGCTCCAAATAATCTCCAACAGTGGCGTCGTCTTCAAATCCCACGTCGAAAAACGAAGATCTTAGGATGTTGAGGCTTCCGTCGGCGTTGAATACAAGGCCCCACTCAAATTCTAGATCCGCCATGCATGCTTGACGTTGGAGAATATTTCAATGAGAAGGGAGGAAATATGTAGTGGTGAGGGAGAGCACTTGTAGGTGGCGAAGAAGGAGGGAGGAGAAGGGAGGGGCGGCGGGATCTCTAAGGGGAAAAAGGAGGGGCCGGCGGGTTCAAGGGGAAGAAGGCTAGGGTTTGAAATTTGGAGTGATGATGTGGAAATATTTTAAAAGACTCCACTTTAAATTAAATTGAAATTGGAATTCGTCATGAAAACTTTCCTAAATTGGAATTCCAAATTAGGAAAGAATTTGAAATTTAAAAGTAGTTCATTAGATAATTAAATCAACTTTAATAAAATTTTAAAAGCTTATCCTATAAAGGAGCAAATGTAAACACTAGCTCATTCATTTATAATATCGTGAATATTGTCATTTGTTGTATTACAAGAAGCTTGTTAAGAGCATAATAAAATTTAATTATTTTTTTATGTTTTTATACTAACATTCTTATATTCAATGCACATCAACATTTATTTATATTACCAGAATTATAATATGTGAAAATATTGAACAAACGACTACATGGGCATTAAAATTTTAATTTTAATTTTTATTAACATCTGATAATAAATTATAAAGCAACATTAGATGGATAAATTAAAAGGCTAGTTTTTATTATTTAATTGACATTGGAATAAAAATATTGAATAAATAGCTAAATTCATAATACATAGAAGTCTAATTTTATAATAAATAAAATATTAAGAAAAATATTGAGTAAATTATTATCAAGTTTGATTAAAAAAATTCAATACAGTTCTTGGAAGCAACAAGACTATGTGTAATTTATTGGCATCATTTAAAAATTAGTTAGGCCTATTATACTTGAAATGAATAAGAAAATTACTTAACAAGCTTAAACAAGGATTTTCAAACTCGGGTATGTTCAAGCTCAGTTAGAGCTCAATAAATAAATAAATAAATAAGCATGAATAATATAATACTCAACTCAAATAAATTCAATAACAATATAAATCACATCCAGCATCAATAACAATATAAATCACCACAAGAGGGCCGGCTGTTCCTATTGAACCGGTCCCTAGTGAACCTGTTTTCTACTACAGTTGTCGGCCCAGGGAAGGGAGAGAGAAGGGGTTGGCTGCTTCTATGGGACCCACACCTTGATTAAAAATTACTTTGGAGGGAAATATTTGAATTAAGGGTTGTTTAGGGATTTTGTATTTCTCTTTTGGCTTTAATTAGTTGCTAATGATAGAATTAGGGTTTCATCTTGAAATTTGAATCTGAAATTTGAGATCTTCCTTGTGCTTGGGCTCAAGTTGCTTGGCTAGGGATTTGGAGAGTCATTTCCTCCTCTCGAATTGAAGAAACATGTATCGTTTGCTGTTTTTTCTTCGTTTTCTAGTGGAATCCATCGTTTTTCTCTCAGATTTCTACAGTTTTTCTCAAGTTGTTGCTGTCCTATTGCTGTTTTGCCTTTAAAAACAGCAGATTTATGTTGGAGGTGACTATTTCCTATCATAATCAAACAAGAATAAGGCTGCTCCTTAAGACAAATGATGAAATAAACGTTCTTCAATATAAACAACAACACCAAGTTTGTATCCCACTATGTGGGGTCAAACGTTCTTCAATATATAAATTAAAAAAAAGACCAAGTTGCAAATATATAAACATAGAAAATCTTCTTATGAGCAAGGTAATCCAAAAAAATTTCCATTGGATGAAAAACATATGCCATTTCTTGAAACTAGCAAATAAGCACAATAAAAATACCGTGTTTTCTTTATCTGATGAAGCTTCCTCGAGTGGTCTTTCCTGAGTTCCTTTTGCCACCCGTCTACGTTTTTTGCCTTTCTAAACTTAAATCAAAGGAAACTTGTGTCAAGCATACCCAATTTGCATTTTCAATAAATTACTTAACTGCATAAATTTAATCAGTAGTGGAAGAGCAGAGTAACAGACCGTATCCTTCTCAGAAAGTAGAACTTCTCTAGTAACATGCGGAGATTCCAAAAATTCCAATAGTTTTGCTGAGATCTCCTCCTGGAAAATGAGCAAGGCAACTTCATGAAGAAATCCTTAAGCAGGGCAAAAATGAATAATAGGAGAAATGAAATATATACGGGAATTATTTCATTAGTTTTGGCGCAACTTTTACCCCTAGTTGTCAACGAAACATTAACCCACAATCTTGCTGATCCAGATTAAAGATTGAAGATGATAAAAAAAGCAACTAAATAATAATAATAATAGTAATAAAAATTTCAATATAAATTTGACTGACAAGAAAAAAAATACTAATCAATGAATGAAGAACTACAATAGCAATGGTTGTTTATGCAAAGGGACCCACCAATCAACAGAAATCCAAAGCAACAAAAGTGCCACAAATTTGATATAACCTAACTTTATCAGCAAACTCAATGATCCCTATAACTCAAACACAAGTTGACTCCAGAAATAATCAACTAAAAAGATCGAGCCAAGATGAGAGTGAAGAGTTCCAGTGAGGCATGGAAAAGGAAAGCATACAAAGATAATATCAATAACTAACCTTCTTAGTGGTAATTTTTAAAGTGTATACATCTAGCAGATCACAGAAGTCCAGCAACCTTTCTTTGTTGCACTTATTTAGTTTTTCCCTAACTTTTGACCTTTCCTTCTCCTACAAAACAGTTAAGAAACAAGTAAGAAAGAGGTCCATAAGCATGATTTAAAATTAAATATTTCTGTGTTTGAAAGAGAACAAAAAAAAGTAAGTGGGTTCAAGTGATATAGACTTGAACCCACCGAACCTAATGCAGCAATAGAGCCAAGTTGATCTTTAAAAATTTTTGAAAGAAAAAAAAAAGAAGGGATCTAAGTGTAGTTGTCAAGAAGGTTTTAGAAATTTAAATACAAATAGCAAAATTCATTAAGTAATCTATGCCATAACACGAACAATGATAATAGCATAAATAAAAATTGTACTCCTTCAGTTTCCTCCATCTTCTAAGGGATGTTTTGGCTGCATCCAAGAGAAGCGGGAAATAACCTATGCATCAAAAAGTGAGATATGTTCTTCAGACGTCTCTATGAAGTCTTAATGATCTCAAACATACAAATGTATACATATAGCTTATCGAAATATAAAATATATAATAATATATTATTAATTTATAACACATTATGGTTATAATATATTATTCTTATAATATATGATATATATAAAAAATCATAAATAGAATACAGAATATTAGCATCTCATCACAATGTTTACATAAAATATAAATGATGAGGACATCGCTCAGAGATTCCGACACGTGTACCGGCGAAGAGATCGTAGATCGACAGCCACGATTCAGTATTTACTTCTGATGCGTTTTATTTTATTTTCAATTTTTCCAAGTTTATCCCTGTGGGGAGTTTTCTTATTGTAGCCTTAAGAGCATTTGTGTACTTTGCTTTTATTTATGTTGGAGGCCTATATATAGTGGCCTTATGCATTCTAAAAGAATGATGAATATTTGAATGAAAATTTTATGTTTGTCTTCTTCATCTTGTGTGTGCACTAGGGAAGGGAGAGAGAGCTCAAGGTGAGCAAGTGTAAGGCCCACCAATCATTGGAAGAGTCTGCGGCTCGTGGTTAGTTTATTTCTATCTTATTTGTGTTTTCTTTGATCTTCCTTTCCCCAATCAACCGTCGGCCATCCTTCCCACTCAAATTCTCCCCAAGCTCCACCACCGGCCACATACTTTCCCTCTACCCTTTTTTTCCCAACACCCCAAAACCCGCCGGCCTACAACCCCCCTAAACCGAACCCATGCTTCCCCCAACCCACCGGCTGCCTTGGCCTACCCAACCGCCAGCCGCCCCTCCCAAAGCCACCATCACCGCCACGGCCCATCCCCATCTCCACCCCCATGCCGCCGGCCACCTCTCCCTCTTCCATGGAATCATGAATAATCCCAAAGACCACAAATACCTTCCTAAAATAACTTCCCTCACTTAGGAAAGGGTATTTAATTGAATTCAATTCATATTTTTGAATTTCAAATATCTCCCTCTAATTTAATCAAATCTGAATTTAAATTCAGATTTGACTTATTCCAATTAGCTAAATACCTTGGGCCCACATCTCTTAAATCAAATCCCAAATTAGCTCCCATATGGTCGGCCCTCCCTCTCTCTCTCCACTTTCATTAAATGCTCCCAAGTCCCAATTAAGACTCGTTAATCACCTCCCCATGCCACCTCCCCTCTCCCCCAATTTCTCTCTCCCACTTTAATTTGAATTCAAAATTCAAATTAAATCCTGCCAAATCCACTTAAAAAAATCTGAAATTAATTTCAGATTTTGGGATTAATTTCCCTCACCCCTCTTCTAACCTAATCCAAGCCCCCACCTAAACCACCCCTCCCCTTCTCCCCACCTTGGCCGCCCCCTTTCTCTTGCATCCCCTCTCTTGGGAAACCCTAGTTTGTTCATGATATTTGACGCCAAGAGAAGAAGACGACTTCCTCTCCCAATCTCATCATTGGTGCATGGCCGATCCTGAGATCGACCACAGATTTTTATTGGACGAGCAAGGAAGGACAGATATCCTTGGTTCCTCGTTCTTTGAAGTCTTCTTTGGCAACTACGAAACTGTTGAAGGATACATCGACCGCATCATATACCAACTAACATTGTCGATTGAAGAGCACCTTCCACCGGGTCATTGGATAATCGTCGGACACCCACCGCCTCCTCCACCGCCTCCTCCACCGCCGGCTATCGTTATGTCAACGAAGGTCCTCGGAGCCGTCTTCCTAGTGGTAATATCCTTCTTCGTATGGTTCATCTTTCTCCGCTAAAGCCTAAGAGTGATTGAGTGAGAAGGTACTCAAGGTGAACCTCTCGTTGTTAAGTGTTGGGTTTTGTTATAAGCATGTAACATTTACTATTGTTTGGATTTTTGATTAAATTGTTTGGCTAATCTCAATAGCACTTCTTTGCCTAATCAAGTTTAAAATTTTGAATTCCAAAATCTATCTTTATTGCAAGCAATAATTCTATATTGGCACGTTTTGGTCAATTGATTGTTATAATTTCTCAAGTAACTCCTATATGTTTCACATCAATAAATTATGTAAAAATGTATGCACATGTATATGGCATGTATGTGTGTGTATACATGACATTCATTCATATAAATATATGCAATATTACATATTTACATTATATACACACACACACAAAAGTATACACATATATGTGAGTTAATTTTATAAAGGTTATAAAACATTTTTGCTTCCCAACCTAACATCAAAAATAAGGTGAATACGTTGTTAGATTTCCCAACTTCAACTTCCAAAAGTAGAATGTCACTTACTACCGCCTATGGGTAACCGAGCAAACCATAAGGTGTTGATAAAATATTTAATAAAGCAGCATATTATCTCACCAAAAGAACATTTAGAAGCCAAATCAGGTAAAATTTACCAATGGTTGACACGATGTGTCATTTTCACTTCTACAGTTCAGATATTCTCATTATATATGAGCATGATTGACCACATGCATATTAAAAAAATGTAATAATATACCAATAATACCTCATTCTGGGACCAAACAAAACCAGAGAATTGCAGAATATTTCTCTTCAGAAAATGTACCTAAAAAGATTTAAAAAATACAAATACATAATGATTATTCCAAACATGTGAAAAATAAAGACAGGAGAAGGCAGAAAGTAGTTTTACATTAGCTTTTCTTCCGAAAAGAATTTTATGAAGAAGGCGGAGACTCTCATCAGACTTTCTTTTTGATAGTTTGAAAGTCACTGAAACACGAAAAAAAATAAGGAATAAAAAACAAAAAAAGTGTATTCTCACATGTATCAAACTTATTTATCTACTTTCATCATACGTCATTAAAAAAAATAAAAATCATATTATACATTCAATTAGGCAAGTTTTTTTTCCATGCTGCAATCCTTCTACTTCTTCTTTGAAGCAAGAATTTATTTCCTAAATTAAGCAAAAAAATAAGCAAACAGTCAAGCTTCTCCTCATATAAGTATAACTTATTACCACAAAATATGAGTTTTTTACGTTGAGGAGAAGTGGTCTAATCAGAAAATAAAAATGCTTTACAGAGGTATGATGGTAAGAAGGGTATATAGTGATGAATACCGAGAAGGAAGAAAAAAATATCAATCCAAGTAAACAGATATGTGTGTCAATGCTAGTATATGTGCCGTTTGAAAAAATGAAATGTGTTCTTCAAAAAAAAAGAAAAATGAAATGTGAACTAAAATTATTTATGTTAGAAGAAAATAAATCATTATCCTCTGCGGCATGGTTGAATATAGAAATCATGTTACATCATTTTTACATAGAGGGAGATGAAAATTGTATGCAGACCAAGTGTTTCTGATTAATATAACTTATTAAATATTTATTAATTTAATAAAAGCGTAATTTTGTCATTTGGAATAAGGTATTTTACTATGTATTGCATAAGGTCATACAATTTCAAAGGTGATTCATGATATAAATTTATTTCTATTTCTACGTTATCTCAATCTCTTATGGATTAAGGATTTGAATCCCCTTTGAGGTACAAGAATTTTGTATAGTTTGAAGATATAAAAGCTCAATGTCTAGATAAATTAGAATCAACAGAAGAAATCTAAGTTTATCATTCTAACCATATCCATCTTTCCTCATTCTCTCTTTTCATTTTTTTCCTCAATTATCTAACAGATCCAATATCTAGCTACCTAGCCAAACATCAATTGGCATCAAAGCTGAAAGTTGTTTCAACTTCAAATAGTATTTTTTGTTGTAGCTCATCCCACACTGATGCACATTTATTCTCAATTTACTATGCTGGAGAAAAAATGCATATGCTTCAACACCCAATGATGTAACAAAATCTTCCAAGCAGCTTGCTCGACACCAACTCCCCAAAGTCTTAAGATAACATATACCACCCCCAACTAAAACAAAGCACTAAAAATAAAATTGTAGACTGCTGAAAAAGCAGCGCGCAAAAAGGATTATTGCTACACTCCCAAAAAGTATATATATACACAACAGTATATGGGGGTCAACTGTCTTCACTGAAATAATCAAAATATGGAGTGTATCAAACACTTTTTTTCTTGAGAGTGTTTTTAGTGGCCTGTATAATAAAAAATGATGCGATTTGAGCTTAAATGTCAATTTTTGTGAGTATAGCATTTCCCTACTCAAAGTATAGTTTTGAAACTAATATACTTAAACAAATTTTTTTCTGACAAAATAATTGTTAAATACCATCTTCAACCCAGTCATGCCCTAACACCACTTTCACCGAGTTGGCCAATCATTCCTTCATTCAAAATTCTCAATTTCAATCCAAAACAACCTTCATATTTAATTTACATTAAACTCAAGAACCTCAAACTTGAATCCACTAAATTAGCAAAAAAACTTAAATTTGAAAACGTCCTAACCCCATCCAACCTCATTGTTATATATCCCTAAACATTCTCAAGAAACCGCTCATTTACAATTCAAACCTAAAACTAAACTTAATATCTTATCATTATCAGCTTCATTCCCTTTTGAATACCTCAATTTTCGATAAAAGATGGCATCCCGCCAATAAGTAAAACAACATTCATTATCATAAATCAAGCCATCATTACTTTAAAAAAATTTTACCAATGATTCCCTTCTAATCTTACTAATCCAATTTATTTCCACATTATAAACTTGGCCTAATCAAACCAAAGCCAAAAAAATGTGTTACACCACCCTATTGATAATTTAAGTCTCAACCTACCAGACCAAACTACACTTGCCCAACTCCAACCCAACCCAACCATGAATTCATATAGAAATAATAGAATTTAGATTCTTATAATCAATGCTACCAAATAAGAGATTAGTTCAAATTAATATATTACTCTGCATGAAGATCTGTAAATTTTCTAGGATTATATTCAATCGATGCATGACAAAGTCTAAATGATCTATGATGAGAACACATTGATAATATTCATCTCTTAACACGGAATAAATTTCCCTGTTCATATATGGAGTTGAATTCCCTATCAAATAGATTTCTCATTTGTCTCTTCTTATGATTTATGATGGATTTCTAAGATTTTGTCAGCTCAACTATAAAGCAAAAGATGTCGAAGTCTTCCTTTATCAACACTTCAATTATATGAAGTAGAATTATTTCATCCTAGGGTGGTAAATCATGCATAGGACAGCTACTTTTGGTAGTCAGAGAGTTCAATGTAATGTTTGACATTAATTTCTTCTTATTGTGGAAAAATCAACTTCCATCAATTATATCTTCATTATTTCAACCTCAATCAATCTTCCACCAAACCCTAAGTCATCCACCTTCCTTATTCACTTGATGCTAGGTCAGTGATCCATGGAATTACTACTTCCATCATCATGAGTAGACTATTGTAATTATTTTATAATTATTATTTTGCTTACTCATCAATTTGAGCACTACTGTAATTATTCTTCCCTGATTATGTATTTTTCCTATTAGAAGCTCGCCTAGGATTGTATAAAGACTACACAGATGTTGGAAAGAAATATTCAACCAATTATTGTCATGATATCAAACCTTAGGATTTTTTCTTATCATTTCTATAAGACATTGCCTTCATCATTGTAGCCTTATTTCTACCATTCTTTCTCATTACAGCCAATTACTACATCATTTCCTTCCCATGGATCACAAAAATACTAATATTCCCTTGGTCTCAGATTCATTTGAAGCCGAGATCAACAACCCAAATCAAATGAGAGAATTACAAGACATCCATTCAACCTATCATTTGAATGAAAAGAATTAACTTAAGGGGTCACAATAGGTTCAAGCCTTCTAGAAGGGAAGAGGAAAATTTGGCCATCTACTTGGGGACCAAACCACAATAAGGCAATCCCCTATTCAAGGCTTGAAATGAACAAGACTCTGAGGTGATGTCCTGATTATAGAACTCCATGGTTTCTGAAATAAGTAACACATGCATACTCTTTCATTCAACAAAAAATTTTTGAGATATGGTAAAACAAATGTATTCAAAAACCCATGAGCTGACCCAATCTATGAGATGAAAATCATGACCTATGACACCAAGCAAGAAGGACAATCCATCACAGAATACTTTAATATACTACAAGGCCATTAGAAAGAGATGGATCATTATTGATGCATCCGAATAAAATGAAGTAAAGATGCTGTCTTCCTTAAAATATTTATTCAGAAAAATCAAATTTATAATTTTTTATTAGATTGAAATAGAGATTGGCATTGTAAGATCACAAATTCTCAAAAAGAAAAATTTATGTTCCCTAAATGAAGGGATTGCCATCATTTGAATGGAAGAAGGGATGAGATTTATGATTACCAATAACCCTATAGAAGATTTGGCTCTAATTATAAAAGCTATCAATATCAAACACATTGATTCAAAACACCCTTTTTAAGAAGGGGCACTAGCAAACATATCCAATAAATGCTCAATAGAGATTCCCTATGGTGCACATATTGTTCAAGATACAAAACAAAGATGATGGATGTTTCATAGAAAGCCACCAAAAAAGCTAGATTAGGAGAAGAATCATGTGGTTTGTGTCATTTATTGATGATTTTATCCATGTGTTATAAATTTTTTTACAAAAAACCAAAGTGATGCAAGTACCTTTCTTACTACCTATTTTGACATGATCAAAAATCAATTTGATGTTCAAAAGAAAAGAGACTGTCAATAATGATAACAACTTTTTTAGCAATTATCTCTTCTCATATTTCCAAAAATAAATAAATAGTGTATGAATTTTCTTGTTTATAAAAATATCAAATTGACTCAAGGAGGAACGCATCACAATCAACACAAGTCTAATCGACTGAATCAATCCTCTGTGGCATTAAACTTGTTGAGGTAACCGTTGAGCTTGCAAATAAAGATACTTCAATTAAACATCTCTTACATGCATTCTTATCATACAAAAAACCTTCCTCATTGTCACAATCCTTCCATCCTGACCTCCATAATATTTCTAGTTCTAAAGCTATCAATAAAGCTTTAAATTATGAGCATTAAAAAATGCTATTATAGAATGCCCTTCAATGAATAAAACATGGAAATTTATGACCCTAACAAAAAGAAATAATCAAATAAGGTATGGATAAGTCATTATTGTGAAGTACAAATTTGATTATTCATTAGAAAGATATAAAACCATATTGTTGGAAAAAGGCTATACTCAAACATGTGTTATTAATTATATCAAATATTTCACTCTTGTTGTTAACATAAATAATTGTTCAATTTTGTTTATTATTAATAGCTTTAAAAAAACAATTTAATGTGAAGAATGCCTTTTTACATGAAAATCTAGAAGTGTGTAGGTCCCAATGGGGTATGGCTCAAAAATTAAGCAAAATGTATGTATGCTAAAGAAGGTATTATATGGACTCACAATCTCTAATGGCATTGTTCTAGAAGTTCGCCAAGATAACTCTCAATATGGGATACAAAGTCATGGAATCCACATCATTTAGGAATTACATGGGACTCTCCGCACTAATAGTTTATGTCGACAAAATCATCATAACAAAAAGTGATTTGTAATCTATGGAGAATAAGAGAATTTAAAGAATATGTTTCTGTAATAATGATGCAAAAAAGTTAGGTAAGCTAAAATACTCTGTATTGAGGTTGCACATTCTCAAATGAGATATTTATATCACAGCAAAAATATATAATAATCCTTTTGAAAGAAACAAGCAAGTTGAAATGCAAGCCTGCAGAAAGGCCCATGGAATTTGATCATATAAATTTAGAAGATGCATCCATATACAAAACATCCTATCCAAGGCTTGAGGAAAGAGTGAAAGACTTATATACTTATCACATGCTACATCTTACATTATCTGATAAGGCAATTCATGCACAATCCTAAGAATCACACATTAAGGCTACACATCAAATCTTACAATATCTAAAAGAAACTCTAGCCAAGGGATTTTTATTCAAAAGGGGGATGGAGTCTAACACTTAAAGCATATATATATATATATGTGTGTGTGTGTGTGTGTGTGTGTGTGTTTGTTGATTATACAATATCTATGATTGATAGAAGGTCAACTTCAAAATATTGCACATTCTTAAGAGCAACCATAACTTAGAGGAGTAAAAAAAAATATTGTGGCAAAATGTAGCACAAAAGTTGAATTTAAATCTATGGCAAATGAAATCTGTGAAATATTATGTCATATATATATATATGTGTGTGTGTGTGTGTGTGTGTGTGTGTTTGTTGATTATACAATATCTATGATTGATAGAAGGTCAACTTCAAAATATTACACATTCTTAAGAGCAACCATAACTTAGAGGAGTAAAAAAAAATATTGTGGTAAAATGTAGCACAAAAGTTGAATTTAAATCTATGGAAAATGAAATCTGTGAAATATTATGTCTCAAACTTATCTTAAGAATTTAAAAGGTTGAATAATAAGGTTCTATGAGGCTCTATTGTGACAACAAATCATCCATCAATATTGCACATAGTCCCATATAATATGACCGAACAAAACATATTGAAGTGTAAGCACCTTTTATAAAGGAGAGGCAAAAAAATGGTCTAACTTGTACTCCATTAATCGCCAAAATTGGCCAAATCACAAAAGAATTATTAAAGACTAAATTCCAAAAATTGATAATAGGCTTGGAATGGACATCCATTCTTTTTGCGCGGGGGAGTGTAAAAAAAATCAATATCCATATTCTACCACCATCAATATTCCATCAAACCCAGAAGTCCTCCACCTCATTCACTTAATGCCACCTCAATTATATGTGGGATTACTAGTGCTACATCACCCATTCATGGACTATTGTAATTACATAATTATTATTCTTCCTACTCATTAATATGTGAACAATTGTACATAATATTTGTTGATCTCATATGTTTTCTATTAAACCTATCCTAGGATTGTATAAATGCTACACGAGCATTAGAACAAAATATTCAATCAATTCTCTCCAACTCTCGGCAGTTGTACTTATGCTAGGTTTTGCACTTCATTTGCAAAGTGCTAATTAGGACTCATTAGGATAATTATTTATCCATTTCAAAGCGGTTTTGTATTTTGAAATAAGACCTATTATTATAAATAGTATCTAGAGTCATGAAATTTGAGAAGATTTTGAATGAAATCTAACGTGTTCAAATTTTATAATATGTTAATGCCTTGTGAAAGCTTGAGGGCTCATGTCTCCATTGTGCATTGAGGAAGCATCATGTCTTGAGGATTTGAAACTCAATGGTCTGAAGAATTAGCACATCTACTGTGAAAAAACATTCAAATAAAAGCAGGAAAAAATTACAATAAAAAACAATAGGGCAATAAACCCGAACCCCTTCCCCGTCCTACTACAAAAGAAAAAGTTAAGAGAGACATACCATTTGGAATGTCCTTGAGCATCTCCCCGGGACCCTACAGCAGATAACGAGAAAGAAATATGTTTCAAGAAAAGTATTGATCAAACCCACGGAAATCACTTCTCACGACTAACAAACACAGCCAACCAAGAACTCCCAACGCATATAACGCACGCATGAATACATTAACAATCGAATCACCTGCTGAATCTTCAAAGCCTTGGTTGCTGATATACTCCGTGATGCTGTCGCCGAGTACCTGACAACAGACTTCCTCTCTCTTGATGGCCTCTCCGAAGGAGAAGCCGTTTGCGCTGCCTTCTTCCTCTTTCCATCCTTTTCCTCTCGTTTCCTCTTCTTGCCCCTCTTCTTCTGCGTCAGCTGCTCTCCAACCGGAGTTGACTCTTCCTCCGGCGGATCCGCCTCCTCGCCAGAGGCAGATGACTGATTCTGGGCGCTGTCCTTACTTGCATCTTGGTCAGGAGATGCCATAGGGACGATAAACCCTAGCAAGCGCCGTTTAGGGAGGGGGCCGAAAAGTAAACCCTAGAAAGGAAAGCGGGAGAGATTCCTCCAACTGAAGGTAGCGCGGATTCGAACATGGAATTGAATTTAATTAGAGATTAGAAATAGGGCGCGGAGAAATTTGGGGAAGAAATCGGCTTCCAATAGGGTGCAAGCGAACTCGAGTCCAATAGGGCGCGGATTCAAATCAAGTTGAAAACTTCACAAATTAATTCAAATGTCATATGAACTCCGATTTTAGCAAACTTGTAGTCGAACTGAACGTCTCAAAAATATGAACCCAACGACACCAAATTCAACTCAATCCGAGCCTAAATGAGTCCAAATAAAAAACTAGAAGCACATTTGGAATGTTCAATCCATAATTTCAATTGCCAAATAGTTTTCAAATATGACATACTTATAGGCTCGACGAGACAAATCCAACAAGCCCAAGATCGTCGAAATATGATATCATTAGGGCTTAATAAATAGTACATGATCAAGGGATTCAACATTGACAGTCCATTCAAATCAACATTGATCAACGACGGAATTAAGCAAGAAAGCAATAAGAGAAGGAAGAAAAGGAAGAGACTTCTCCTCGACTACTGCCGGACTTCCACCCAACTAACAACTGATGTTGGATTTCTGTCCGGTTATCAACTAACGCCAAATTTTTGCCCATCTACCAACAAACTTTTGACTTCTACCCAACCACCAATTGATGCCGGTTTTTCTGCGCGACCACCAACTAACGCTAGACTTTTGCATGGATTCCAATTAATATTGAACCTCCTTCGCCCTCCGACGGCAGTCTTTTTGACCGCTGTCGTCCGCCGACTATGATCCTTTCAACTTCCATCATCAGACAACGGTCCTTCCGACCTCTATCGCCTCGACCTTCGTTGCCCACCGACTATGATCCTTCCTGCCTCCGTCTCCAGACAATGATCCTTCTAACCTTTGTCACCCACCAACTATGATCATTCCAACCAAATGAACACATCAACAGTGGTGATTCTATGTATTCTCACAATGTAATGTACTTCATATGATGTACACCAAACCAAGGTCTTGCCCCCAAGAAAGGGCCTCATTTGTAATCAACTGCAAATAGTAGTGGATTCATTCAAACTAGGGTAGGCTTTGTGATTTTCCTCCTTTTTTAAAAGTTTTCCACGTAAAAGTTTTGGTGTCTCTTTTTAATACCACACCATCTTTTTTATCTATGTGTGTGTTGAATCTTCGTACAACGCTAGTACATTAAACTTTATATTTCTCTACTACCGTGAATATTCTAGGACGCAACAGTTTATATACAGACAATATAATTATAATAAATTTTAGCTTTTTTGTTGTATAAATTTGATGTATGTTATATTTATTTTTATCAATTTATTACATAATAGTTGAAAATATATCTTTTTTTACAAGCTATTTTTAAAATATTAAAGTGTTTTAGTATTTGGATGCCTTAGGCTTCATTTTGAATGACTTTTTAACTGCTTCTTAAAGCAATTTTTAAGTAAAATTTTGATACTAAAAATTGCTTTTAGTAGCAGTAAGAAAGTCATCCCAAACGAAACCTTAATCGTGTTAGAGAGACGAAAATCGATGATAAAGCGGGCGTTAGAAAGTCCTATCGTAAGCAATCTTATTTTACGGGAGGAACATGTTTGTTTGAAAAAGAAAGCCCAAAACAACCACCCCAACCTATGACCATAAAACTGCAAATAAAAAATGTATGAAATTTGGATATCTCCAATTATTGTGGGTTTTAATAATGAATAGTTTTTTTATACATATATTAGTAGTAGACTTTTGATATCTATAACGGAGATTTTCATGAGCTATGTTCAGAAGGGAATGGAATTATGTGATAGGATCTCTCAATAATTTTGTGGGTTTTAACATAAGAGTTTTGGTACCATTATCTTTAGGATTTAGTGGACATAAAATTAGCACTAATAATCAGCATTAAATGGTATAGTATTTAATATCCTAGAATGTATATATTTTTATAAACCGAATCCTCGCTCATGATTTTGATCTCTTAGACTATACCAACAATTTTTTAGACTTAGACTTCGTTTAGGACGGCTTTCTAACTTCTTAAAATAAATTTCTATTACAAAAATTTTAATTTCTTTCTGAGATTTGTCGCATGGATTTTAACATAACATTTATGGGTTTAGTTGTAATATCGAACATAAAAAATCCAAATAAATGTTCATTAATGATCATTAATTTTAATTTGATCGGTAATAATGTCTTATAATATTTAATGGGGTTTATAGTAATCAGGGTTTGGGTTGGAAAAGTGAAAATGCAAGTTGGAAAAATTTCTTGCGGGTTTTGCGGAGTCAAGATTGGCAGCACCTCGGCATTGAACTCTCGAGAAATGGAGAAAATTGGTGATCTTGGGTGCGCGTTGCGACGTTGGGGAGCACCATCAGCGCGCCGAGTCTCATATGAAGATATTCTGGGAGAATTTGGAAGATTCTCCGGGAGCATCACAGTGCTATATCAAGTTAGTGGTTTTTTAAATGCTAAAATATCTCAAACCAGTTTCACTCCCAACCATCCTTGCTAGAGAAGAAGAAGACGAAATGGGAGGAGAATATGAGAGAGATGAATTAAAATTGTCCATTCAACTAGTTGGGGAAATTGTCGAGCTCGAGGTAGGTAACACATATTCTATTTCTAATTTTAATTTCAAGATGTTTATAAAAAGACATGCTTATAAATGTGTTTTTCATGAGTTTAGAAAAAGTTTCACCATACAACTTTCAATATATCGTTACACATTCTATTATAAATAATTTGACTATTGGAATATAAAATTTCACCAGTTGATATTCTATGTATGAATTTCTAATTTTTATGGATAAATATTTCACATTTCTAAATTAATTAATTTCTATAGAATATATATAAATATCAATATTTGTGATGGGTTTGGGAAAGAAGTCTACTCAAATGGATTTTACTAACTTTGCAGAGCTTTTTGATATTTCATGAAAAGATAAAGGCCCAATAGAGTAGAAAGGGTAGAAACAAGCTCTTCTAAATTTGAGTTATCAAGATGATATTTTGTAATGCAATATTTAATTATTTGATGGAAAGAACTTCTTGAGTTAGATTGTTGGTACATATATTATAATAATTCAAATATATAAAAATTAAAGATTTGAAATGTTCTATTTTGAATTCATTTGTTTGTATTTGGAAGTCTTTTAATGAGTCTCAAGGGTCTTGAGTGAATTTTGGCAAAATATGAAAATATTATTATTTGAGTGCTTTAGCGCTATATGTCCAAGCGCCTCAACATTGCTACAGTATCAAGCACCAAATAGTGACATTAATTTCAACACTCTGATCTCTATATTTTGGGAAAATGAATTAGTACTACAACGCTAGGTGGTAGAATCACAGCGCAAGGTGGTGGCAACGCAATGCTAGGATATTATCTTAATTTTAATATATTTTAAAAACCACTATTCCGATTTATTCAAATGCCGAGCCAACCAAAGTAGAGAGAGGGAGAGGGTTTTTAGAGAGAAAAACTTTGATTTAAGATGCTTCATGCCATTTTTAGCCATTGGGCCGGTTGCAAAAGTTGATCATGTCGAGATATATTACATTATGTCTATCTTTGCTTTAAAAAAATTGATGCTTTCTGATAAATTTTTATTTTTGTTATCAAAAAATATGGATAACTTTGCACTTGTCAAACTTTCACTATGTAACTTTTTATATATTTTTGTGATTAAGATTTTGAATGTTTTCTAAGAAAATTCTAATATATATTTTAGAATTTATGCGGTTTTAATTGAATAGAAAATAATACTGACTCTAAAAAATAGTAATTTAGTATGATTAAAATCTTGAAATAATGTTTTTCATAATCCTTGGTCATTTTATTATATTTTGAAACTATGCATTTTTCACTTAGTAAGTATTTTGTTACAAGCAATTATTAATACAAGCTTTTATAATGGAAATGAATATCTAATGTGATTGGGTAATAGCCGGTGGTTATTGCTTTTATTATAATATGTGTGACTAACAACTAAAAACTAGTTGACTCATTGTTTGAAGATTGATTGGCTTGATGGTGGGTCACAAGCTTTCTTTTAAATACTATGATCTGGTGCTATTTGATACAATGATACAATAATTTCAAAGCGATAATTGAGAGTTATAAGAAATTATTACTGTGCCGACATACAAAGAGTGGTGACTATGTTTATTGAACAAATAATTTTTACATATATTGATATGATACTGAAAAACACTGTGATAGTTAGGACTTCTTACTTATTTAGTGTGACTACTTACATATTCATTGTTACTGTATGCATTATTGTTATATCAATTATTTATTGTTACTGACATTAGATATATTGGTACTGATATAAATTTTGAGATTATTATTATACTATTACTGATACTACTATTGATCACTGTTACTATTACTGATTCACTATATTAAGCATATGATTAAGATACCGATATGATTATGATATAAATTCATTAGATAACATGTGTATATTATTATAAGATTTTATTGCATTGTTCTGAGTTTGACAATTCTTTACCGATGCTTTAGTTTTTATTGCTTTATATGATTGCCTTACTAATTGATAGTATTGATTTGACCACTACTTTATTGATCTAGTTTACTGATTCCTCCACTATATTGATTTACTGGCTTATGTACCGTACCATTTTACTATTTATTTATTTTAATATTAATGTATATGAGTTTTAATATTTTTGTATTGATCTTGATCATATTATCATTACTATTGTGAATTGACTAACGATATGCATATTACTTTTTACAAGGTATTGAATTTAGTTATAGGATTTTAGTGTGACCTACTAGACCGTTTAGCTAATTATATATAATTTAAATGATTTCAAGTCAAGATAAGGGAGCAGAAGTGAGAGATTGATCAGGATCTCTTGATTTCCTTTTCTTTTGTCTTTGTTATTGTTTTGTACTCAAGATTTAGATAGACATTATATAATTGTATGATTCTTGAGAACTATATATGATTTTTGGAATAATGAATATAAATTTACATTGATGTTTTGAA